AGTAGGAAAAAATGTCCTCAATAAATGTCACGTTGTTGGCTTGCAAAAAACTTACAGATGGTTACAGGTTTAAAAACTTTCAGATGTGTTCATAATTGTTCAGTCCTGCAAAATTCTACCAAAATATAAATAAATCCTTGACATCATCCTTTAATTGCCGTTAATATTTTCTAATAGTGTAATGAGCTGTTATGATTTACAGTAATTTCTTTTGTACAGGTACAACATCGTTGCTATCTTTTCTATTTCCTTGGAAGATAGAGATATTGCTTTAAAAGCCGAATTGTTTATGGGGCCATTTACACTTTGGCTAATTGAAAAGATACTGTTCAGTCTATCTTAGTACAGGAAATTCACAAAGAATTGAAAGGCAAGTATAATTTCATGGGTTTTGTTTACATGATGCTTTATTGATTTCCTTGCTAGTGAACCTAGTACATTAGACAGTTGTGTGATTGTGTAAAAATTTCTTTCAATATAATGAAAATCATTAGTAATTAAATAATTTGGAACTATATGAGAGAGAGAGAGAGAGAGAGAGAGAGAGAGAGAGAGAGATTGATAGATAGATATAATTCTTATTTTATTATTAATTTTTTTGGATGAGGAAAATCTTTTATGGATATCAGTGAAGCTGTTGATGTCGGACTCCCAACTCGGTTACCGACTAAAAAGCTAACTTCCATCTCTTAAACTATATTCTCTCCCACTCGGAAACTGTCGTTAGACACTACTTCACGTAGGAGATTGGCTGGTAGCAGATGCTCTACTTCCTCAGTCTTAATTATTTCTTCTTCTTCATAATACTAACTATGAAGTTCTCTATTGTTTTCCATTTTTCCTGCGAACTTAGCATCATGTCGTCCATGTCTGGGTTTATAACTTGTGGGAGGTTCTGCGTCCCATGCCTTACATTGGAATAGTGTGTGTTCTGCATCATCTATATCTGCGTGACAGACACTACATGTGGGCCTCTCTACGATCCTGAAATCGTAGAGGTATTTATTAAATCCTCCATGTCCCTTAAGAGCCTGGGACAGGTAATAACTCACCTCCCCAAATCTTCGGCTAACCCATCTCTCGATGTCAGTAATCAACCAATGAGTCCATCTGCTTTTCACATCCCCATCCAATCTTCCTTACCATTCTTCCAGGAGCAACTTTCTTGCTTCTGCTTTAATACTCTCAATTTGTTTGGACAATATCCTGATTCTGTCCACATACGTTATCGCCCTTTTTTGGAGGTAGTCTTCAATAATCCTTATGACACATTCCGGAATCATCTTGTTAACTAACACTTCTATAACGTACTTCCACCTAGCGGAGTTGAAGGCGTTTCTAATGTCAATTGCGACGAGTGCGCAGAATCCCTTCTTCATGCCGACTCCTCTTCTGGCTGCGTCTGTTTTATCGATTACTTCCAGGATGGCATCCGTCGTTGAGCGGCCTCTTCGGAATCCATATTGCCTGTGAGAAAAGCATATGAGCCCCTCAAGCCTAGAAAGTATTAAACCCTCAAGCAGCTGTCCCATGGTATCAAGGAGGCACAGTGGTCTGTATGATGAGGTCTGATCTACCGGCTTGTTGCCCTTTCGGAGGAGTATCAGCTTTTGTCTCTTGCACGTCTTGAAGAATTTCCCACCCTCAAGGCAGCGGTTATACATTGACAAAAGGCATTCCGGATAATCCTGTGCCATTATTTTTAGTATTTCACAATGAATTCCATAGAAACCTGGGGCCTTCCCAGTTTCCATGCTTCTCGCCGCTCTCCTTAGTTCGTCTATCGTGAAGTAGTCTGCTGCGTCAATCGTGAAGTCGCTCTTTGTCTCGTCCAGGGATCTCTAGTGGAAAGAGGTCTCTAATAGCATTCCTCATCATGGATCATTCAAAACAGGTATCTTCCTGTCCATTCTGAATTTCAGATTTACTATTTTATAAGCCATGTCCCTTGGGTCGGTCGTTATTTAACTATTCTAAGAGCTTTTTCCAGCTTCTGCCTTTATTTCTCTCTTAAGCCGTTTGGAGAGTTCTATACACTGTTTCCTGAGGTGCAGATTCGTGTTGACCCTTGTCGCTTTTCTTCTTGCCTTAACACAGTTCCTTCGTAGTTCAGCTATTTCTGGTGTCCACCAATACATTTGCTGTGTCCTCCTCTGAGATATACGTCTGAGATATACATATGCATGCGTCGCATGCTGCGACCGCTATTTCCTTCGTTGCCTTGACCATATCCTCAAGCGTTTCCGCCTTTTTCGTCCAACCCATGTTAACCAGCAACCTGGATTCTTCCAAGCAGCATTTTGCCTTGTCTTCATTCAAATTTTTGGTCTTCCAAGGTGGTCTTCCTTTATATCGCGTTTTGACATGTTGCGGCTTTCCGTTAATGGAGCCGAATATCCTATGTGCCGATTGTCACTTTATTATTATTATTATTATTATTATTATTATTATTATTATTATTATTATTATTATTATCATTATTAGCAACTTTGCAGCTCTTTCAGTGTGGAGGAATTTGCAATACTAATTTATATCTCAATACGGAGGGAAGGTGAGTATGATCGGCTTTCTTTAATATATAGTGTGTTAGTCTCCACGTAAATAATAGCGAGAGTAATGGCTAACATTCAAAGTAATTGCTTACTGTGGAGTCCACATGCTCATGAGGAATATGAATCAATGTTGGAACTTCCCAAAGCAGAAATTCGCGTTTGGAAACAGAGTCTTGCAGTAGCAAACTTACACTGAGAACCACATTACAACAGAAACGTTTATTGGAACTTCGGAATCAAATGTCTGCCATTTAAAGTAGTAGTAACTTCTAAATGTTCAATTATTCATATTATATACATATAATAAATCTCTGAAGAAAGCGCGAACATCGACGCTATGTTTTGTAACATTAAAGGCCTGCTTGTGTCTCGCGAACCCACGCAGCAGCCACGCACGTTTTAAGTATCGTTGGCAGCAGTTTGTATTGTAGTTCCTGTAAGAAGGTTCTGCAATAGAGCGCGCCATTGTAATGGTTTCCATCACGTTATATGGGAGATACAAGCCCTGGCCCGATTAAGTGATCTTTACTGAACAATGACTGAAACGTGTCACTCGTATTGTGTGCCCTGATGGAAATCAAACTACAATGTTTCAAATACTTCAACATTCCAGTCTCCGAATGAAGTTGTTGGGAGACAACTGAGTGAAATGCATTCACTGTGCTTGATACGAACTGACAAATTTTGGTTCCTTGATAGAGGTGTGAATCTGAAGAAAGCATACTGCCCTATGTAAGCTCTATCAAAAGTATGCAAATTAACTAGGAAATAGGCTTTTAAATATTTTATGTTACGTCAAAAAATAATTACTAATGTATGTGACGCCCTGTGGGAAGAAGTGTATTTTGTGGAAGTTTTCGTCATTCTGGGGTCCCGACCCTAAGCCATATACAAGTTGAATTCTCAACACGGAAGGAAGTAACCGTCTCACTCAAGATTTGATGCAAAAATAAACGCTCCAGTATAATAACAATTTGCAAGGGCAAATCAGCTGCAGATTTGGACTTGAATCCCTCACCGTGCCCTGAAGCTATCGACTTGCTGTTGCGACAGGACAGTGCTATGGACAGTGATATTTTTAATAACTACTCGTACTTTTCCCTCTGAACTATAGACGACGTGAACAGATAATGAAATTTCATTTATGTCC